GAGAAGGGGTTGTGCGTAGATGACATAGGAATTCAGAAACTAATAAAGAATCTGGAGACGAGATATAATTTTGAAAGGCATTGGGGATCAGGAGGAGCTTAGCTAAAAGACCTAAGTTCTAAGATCTTAAGTCTAAGGCCTTAGGTTCTCTGTCTCCAGGACCCCATGCTTTTTATTAACACAATTTGTCCGGAGGTGAGGCAGAGACATACACTTCAAAGGCACAGAGTCCATTGTCAGAATGGGGGAATTAGCCTCAGGCTGTTCAGGTGTTTGGCCAGTAGGAGGCAATAACATGTAGATTAAGATGCTCTTTTAACTGTTTGGCAACCACAATCAATTTAATGTATCCTATTCAGGTTTGGGGAAATGCCTTTAGCCATTCCCAACAGGTGACTACATGTGTGATTCAACCCTGTTGAGTCCCCAAGTCTCATCAACCTTTTGTTGAAACTCTTGAAATTATGACATGCTGGAACTGGTCTCCGGCATGATGGCATTTTCTAAAAGTGAGATAAGCCCTGCCCGGTATAGTTGTTGGTTGGACATCGTCCTTTGGACTGATAGATGGTCCATTTGAATCTCAGTCAGGGCACATGCCTGGGTTGCAGGTTTAATCCCTGGTCGGAGTGCATATGGGAAGCAGCCAATCAATGTTTCTCTCTCACATTGGTGTTTCTCTCTCTTTTCCTATAAAAATCAATAAAAACATATTTTTTTAAAAAAGTAAGGTAAGTGGTGCATTTATTTATTTTTAAACTTTTTGTGTACATTGATCAGCTGCCTTCTGCACACCCCAGACTGGGGATGTACCTGCAACCAAGGTAGACGCCCTTGACAGGAATCGAACCTGGGACCCTTCAGTCCGCAGGCTGACGCTCTATCCACTGAGCCAAACCGGTTACGGCCACTAACAGTTTTTTAACAGCTCAAAGCTGCACCCCTAGTGTGATCCCTATCCCCTTAAAATGTCTGCCCGAGAAAAGGGCCGGAATAATGACTACGTGTTCCAACCAAAACCTGGTAATAGACTGATAAACTCCTGAACGCCCACCCACCCCTCTGAGCTGTTACTTTAGAGAGCTTGGTTTGTTATTCCTTTCTCCCGATTCAAGATGTAGATCTTCCACCACCCAGAACCTCCTTCTTGAGGAACTGAGAGGCTCTCTCTGAAATGCAGAAATCCAGGAAAACACCTCCTGCTCTCCCTGCCAGGCCCTGGGCTACTTGCTGTAACTTCCACCATTACCTTCCATCATAAAGAGACTAGCAGTTTGTTTCTCCTACAGATAAGCACCAATTAACAAACCCTGTGTCTGCGGGAGCCTCGCTTGTTCCTTCATCTTCAAAATGCCCATCACCTCTGCACTAATCAGTTCAGGTCAGTTCATGCCGGACCCTCTTCCCCTCACAATGGTTGTTCTGAGTAAATTCTACCTTTACCACTTTAGTGCCCAGCTTTTCTTGGACAAAGGTCAGACCTACATTTCCTACTGCCCGAGGGAGGGTTAGTTCAGACAGAAGATCACAGTGCTAACAAGGCTCAGGTTATGAACTTGATCTCCGTGTGGCTCTGTCCATATGTCACATGTACACACCTCTGTCAGGGGTTTCACAAGTGCCTTTCATTGATCATGAGGGATGCCAGGTGAGAAAGTAGAGATGGCTCAGCACAAACCATTTGCTGCTTTTTCTGTTTGTTTTTGTTTCTCATTATGGCTTGAAGAGCTCAAATACACAGATGGTGAGGCTTATGGCCGTCACTTTGTATACCTCAGCCAGAGCACCTTCATGGCATCCCTCACGTTCTCCCCTCCCCCAAACACCCTTCACCCTCTTTGTCTCCTGTCCTTTTAGCATCTAGTTCATGGTCTTCCTTTTCTCCCAGTTCTTTCTCAAAGCCTGCACCTCCCACTTCTTCTCAGTGCCGATGAGCATTTATCTTCTGTACCCTGTTTCCTTTTGTTACCACCAATGGCTCATGATGGTTCATATATTTATGCTTTATCACTCCTAAATATTCCACCTCTTTTGTTTCATTAGACTAACTACACTGAAACTGTTCAGTGGAATGCATTTGAATATTCCCATTGAGCTTTCCAATGGCTTTCACAAATTTCAGCAAAACATTGAGTTCCTTCATCATTTCTAGGATGGGCAGTAGACTGTGTTATAACTCTCAAAAAGCTTACAAATTTATACAGAATCAAACCAGTGTTACTGAACTTTGTACAGAGTAATCTGTTTCCTGTGGATATTTTCCAATTTTACGTGACAATACAGTAATATATTTTACCACAAAGGAAAATCATGTAGTTTATAGCATTACAATAGCTAGTTCTTTACAATCACATTGCTGTTAGCCTACATTTTCATAGCTTTATGGCATGAAAATACATACTTTGTGCCCATTTAAAATATTTTGTATTTTCAGGAATATGAAGTAATCCTTTCAATGGGCATAATACATTTAACTTAGATTACTCATATGCTAAGATTCAGAAAGGATCCTCCAGAATGTTAATTTTCCCATTGTGTCCGATGCTATTGTCAGATGTAATAGTTTCCTCTTGCTGCTGTAACAAATTGCCACAAACTTCAGTGGCTTAAAACAATGCACATTTATTACTTTATAGTTCTGGAGGTCAGAAGTCTCGCAAGGGTCGCAATGAACTAACAACAGGTGTCGGAACTGAATTCCTTTATGGAGGCTCAGAAGAGAATCTTGCCCTTTCCAGTTCCTAGAGGAGGCCTGCATTCCTTGGCTTAAGTCCCACTTCCATCTTTGAAGTCAGCAATGGCTGGTTGAGTCTCACAGTGGAAATGATGGATAACTCAATGAATGGAGTTGGAACAAACAGATACCTCATGTTTTAGAAATATATTTAGCTGAATGTCTACCTATCTCCTTAAACCAAATTAAATGTTAGATAAATGAAAAGATATGAAT